GTTATTAACACAATGAGGGTCGTCAGCACTATCAGCGATGGTTAACAACGTCAGAGGAGATCAACACAAGCTACTACATAGTTAGGATGACTGATCATCCCCAGGTTTTTAACCAAAGTGTTGTCAGATAGCAGTGGTAAGACACAGGACACAATAAAAGGATCCGAAGCTCAGTTAAAGTATGGAATAAAGAGTTAGAAGAGCATCACTCACATGAAGCTGCTCATCATCTGTTTAGTATCTTCTGAGCTTCTAGAGTTGGCAAAGCTGATGAATGAACAGTAGACAGCAATCCAGGCACACCACTTTAACTGAAACACCATGGAATAATGTAATAAGAGATGCAATGAGTTCAATAATCCTACCAGATGATAGTTAATGCAAGTGTTTCACATTTATCTAACACATCATTCTGCATCCTCAGTGAATACAGAAATTACTTTATGTCCAAAAGCATTCTAACTGAGTCTCTGTTATTATGTTTTTGATTAAGTCTCCAGTATCTTTTAGAGATATGACTCTTGGAGCTTTTTTCACCAACTTTCTTTTTACCATTTTCTGCATTTTAGAGAACTTCCCTTTTTTGAAATCAAACTAAGTAACACTGGAGTTCCCTAATTCTTTCCCACTAGCAAGAAGATTATATGGGATGTTTTTACCTACAACCAATTCACCACTGTTTCAAAAGAATTGTGGATTAGACGGGCCTCGTCTGTTTGAACCAGGCTTGTATGAAAGCCTTACTTAATACAATGGGACCAATATTTATTTATTTATTTCCCATATTTATACCCCACTTTTCTCACCCTGAGGGGGACTCAGAGCGGCTTACAGATTGGCCACTTTAGTGTCAACATTGCAATACAAAATATATAAAAGCACATTAAACATCAACAAAATAAACATACAAATACATAATCCGTTAAAACCTCTTAAACCATTTAGCGAAAACCAAGGTCATCCTTTATGATGTTGCATATAAATTCTGTGTTGCAATTGAGCAAAATGAAATGAATTTGGGTAGTATGATGGCAATTTCCAAATCTGCCAGCTCGCTTCAACCACACCACATTGGCACTCTAAACCATCTCTATACTATTCTATCATTTTAATGTTGTAGGGAATGCTCCCAAAATGGCAGGGAAATAGAGAAGTCCTAAATTGTGGGATATACATTTCAAATTCAAAACAGTAAAGGAGGAAATGCAATGGATCTTATTACTACAATATGATGTCCTACAGGTGAACAAGTGGACGGGTGAGTGGGGGATGGGCAATTTGCCACTACTGGTCACTACTCACCTTCAACATCAAGCCACACATACTAAAAATCATTCCCAAAAGATTCATGTAGTCAGGTGTAGGGTCTTCCAGGGTTGGGTTGTTCTCTGTGGATGGAGGCTTGTATCTACAAATGAAATTATGGAGTGGGGGGAGAAAGCATTAAATCAGGATGGAAAATAAAATATTAACATTATCTGCAATAACATTGAACTAAAGACCAAGACACCAATAGCACATTCTCTGCTTATAATAAGATTGTATAACATATGTTTGTTTGTATGTGTATGGATGGATGGAAAAAATTGCCACATTACACTCATTTCTTATTTATTTATTTACTTCATTTCTACCCCACTTTTCTTGACACCAAAGGGGACTCAAGACAGCTTACAGATCTGGTAAAAATTCAATGCCACACAGCTAAGCAACAAAACACATCTCATCAAAATATAACTGTAACTTACCAACAGCTCCTGTACTTTAGTTCTGCCCTGTGCCCTATAGCCCTGGCATTTTTATGCCAAATGACATTACTCTTCCAGTCCTAACTTCTATTGGATTTTGCACTTTCCCTTAGCCCTATCCAGAAACTATTGCAGAAACTCTTAGCCCTCTGAGATTAGTATTTTTACTGATCGGCCTAGGGATTGCTTTTATGATGTTGTGCTGTGTTATTGTGATGTGTTTTATTTTGTTTCTGATATTTTGATATTGTTTTTGACTTTACTTACTGCACTATGTTTTAATCTGTGTTTTTTTCAGGCTTGCCCCTTGTAATCTGCCCCGAGTCCCTTTAGGGAGATGGAGGCAGGGTATAAACATAAAGTTGCTATTATTACTATTATTATTATTATCATCATCATCATCATCATCGTCATTATCATCATCATCAGAATCTAATTATATAAGCAATTAAAACACATATCAATCAACAGATTAAAAACCATATACGTAAAATATAGAATCATGATCTCATAATTTATACTATTATTTATATGATTAATGAATGTTAACACAAATTGTTCACATGCAAACTCTTTGAAACTGTATTTTACAGAAAGTTAGCTACTTTACTTAACTGGAATGTTGTTTTCATAAAAAGCCAATAAAGGTGAACATGCCAGAGGCTGAACAGCCATCTGTCAGGATTACAGGAGCTCCTGGTGGTGCAATGGGTTAAACTCTTGTGTCAGCAGGACTGCTAACCAAAAGATCAGCGGTTCAAATCCGGAGACCAGGGTGAGCTCCCATATGTCAGCTCCAGCTTCCCATCCAGGGACATGAGAGAAGCCTCCCACAGGATGATAAAACTTCCAGGCATACCCTGGGCAGTGTCCTTGCAGGTGGCCAGTTCTCTCACACCACAAGCGACTTGCAGTTTCTCAAGTTGCTCCTGACACGAAAAAAAAGGATGACTGCATGACATCTTGCACTGAAGAGTCCACATTGAGGAATGGGTTGGGCAAGATAAGGGTGGGCACCTGCTGCCCCAGATGTCACTGAACAATCAACTTAATTCAATGCAGCCAGTAGTAAGTAGCATCTAAACACCAAGCGATCCTGAGCTGCCCATCTCAGAACTGAGTAATTCCATTCTTTCATTTCTATGAAGGCCTCTCCTGTACATCACATCAGCAACAGCCTGCTGCTATGCTACAAGTTTAACATGGACAGATCTAATCTATCCTGAAGGGCAAATCTCCCAATTTTACAGGGTGTTTCAAAAACTATGGACCCAATTGCAAGGCAGTATATTCCAGGATGGCAACATGTTACAATCACACAAAAAGTTACAAATGGCAATGAGTCATCAAGTGTTACTAACCATTTTGAACCAGAAACAAATGTAAAAAAATAATAACTGAAAATGGAGAATATCTCATTAGGCCTGGTGTTGCGGGGTTGCTATCTCATGGATGACTGGGGCTAGTGCTGGGAGAGGCATCTAGCAGTTTTATTTATCGTGTTAGAAGAAAATTGAGAATACAGTTATAATGTATAAAAAACCACTAACAAAGTTAAAAACTTGTCATTATGCTAAAATTCCTTTGACCAGAGTGCCTCTAGTGTCGCTGGAAGAAGGTCCTCCATTGTGAATGTATGCACTTGAAGTATAGTAAAGATGAAGGTTTTCCCTAGACATTAAGTCTAGTCATGACTGACTCTGTAGGGTGGTGCTCATCTGCATTTATAAGCCAAAGAGCCGGTGATGTCCATAGATGCCTCCAAGGTCATGTAGTCGGCATGACTGCATAGACCGCAGTTGTTACCTTCCCGTGAGAGCGGTACCTATTAATTTACTCTCATTTACATGTGTTTGAACTTTTTTTTTCATGTCAGGAGTGACTTGAGAAATTTTAAGCTGCATTTTACCTGTATTTGTTGTACGTATTTCGATAGTTCTTTGTTCTACATCACTCTTTTACCTAAGTCATACCCACCTTGAGCCACAAAGAGAGGCAAGTAACAAATACATTATTATTATGATTGTTATTATTATTTGATACACAACAGGATTAGTACACAGCAAACAAATCACTGTGCTGGCTGTGTGTATGTGTGTGAGTGTGTCAGGAGCAACTTGAGAAACTGCAAGACCCTTCTGGTGTGAGAGAATTGGCGGTCTGCAAGGATGTTGCCCAGGGGACGCTCAGATGTTCTGATGTTTTACCATCCTTGTGGGAGGCTTCTCTCATGTCCCTGAATGGGAAGATAAAGCTGACAGAGGGAGCTCACCCATGCTCTCTCTGGATTTGAACCTCCGACCTGTCAGTGTTTAGTCCTGCCGGCACAAGGTTTTAACTCATTGTGCATCGGGGGCTCCTGCTAGGTTTGAACTGCTAGGTTGGCAGATGTTGGGGCTAACAGTGGGAGCTTACCTTGCTCCCTGGATTTGAACCACCTTTCAGTCAGCAAGTTCAGCAACTCAGTGGTTTAACCCACTGTACCACCAGGGGCTCCACTTGCAATATGCAAGTATTAAGATAGAATGCCATCAAGATAGCAGAAGTTATTCATGACGTAATTAATCCCTTTGAAACTCTCTGCCCAACCTTTTTCAGGAGGTGAGAGTGTCATTCAGGGGTGGTTGGTGGTTGCAGAGAAACAGCCATTTCAAGCCGGGTCCATCTTGCTTGTTTTGTTTTGTTTTTTGTCCTGTTAGGAGCCACTTCAGAAACTGCAAGTCGCTTCTAGTGTGAGAGAATTGGCTGTCTGTAATGACGTTGCTCAGGGGACGGATGTTTTGAAGCTTTTACCATCCTTGTAGAAGGCTTCTCTCCTGTCCCCGCATGAGGAGCTGAAGCTGACAGAGGGAGCTCATCCGTCCTCTCCCCGGATTCAAACCTGCGATCTGTCGGTCTTCAGTTCTGTCAGCACAGGGGTTTAACCCACTGCGCCACTGGGGGCTCCTAACTTGCTGAAACACATTTATTATTTTGAAGCAGTTTCTCAAGCTCTGGCTGGCCGGAGGTTTTTGGACTTCGGCTCCCAGAGACTCCACTCATTGGCCCAAGTAGCTGAGGCTCCTGGGAGCCGAGGCCCACAACCTGGAGGGCGAGAGTGTGGGAATCAAGGCAGTTGAAAGCATTCCCGCGCGACAAGGCCAAGCGTCTCCTTCCCTCCTAGTTCCTGCCAGGCCTTGTGCCCGAGAGCACCCCTTGGGAAATGCGGGCCACGCTGCCTGGGGGCGGGGATGTCCTTCGGCCCTCGGGCTCGGCCCAGGCGCCCAACGTCCTTGCCGCTTTCCCTGGCGCCTCGCACTCTGCCCAGCGCCTCAGAGGGCCAGCTCTGTTTGGGTGGTAAAGGAGAGGCCGCGCGCGCCCAGGCGTTGCCATAGTGACCCTTCAGGCCTGCCGCGCGGAGGGGGCGGCGCGAGCCCCAGCGGCCCCTCCTAAGAGACTGAAAACCCTTTCGTGTCCCGGCGACCCCTGACCCCCACTATCTGACCTTAGGACGCGGTTGGGCCGCCGCGGGTCCGCCATGTTGTTGCTGGACATCCCACCCTCGCGGCCCGTCTCAGGGCTCCTCAGGGAAGGCGGGTTTCCTCTACCACTCCAGCTTCCGCTTCTCCTCACGGGGGAAGACTAAGGATGCCGCACCCCGAGTCCCGCGCATTTGTGTTCCGGTCAGGGGAGACAGGCTTCTCTTCCCCGGAGAGGCATCCTGGGAGACATTAAAGGCAGAACGGAGCGGAGTCCGGTGGAAATGGTTGGAGCTTTTCCGACTCGCTCGAATTCAAAGGTAACTTGGAGTGGAGGAGGCGGCTTAAGAGGAAGAGTAACACAGACACACTTGAATCTCTTGCTGTGGCATTTTTTTTATTTTTTAGAATATTTTTTTTATTTTGAGAAAAAAACCAGTTATATAGACATGTACTATACATTCCCCTCTCTTTAATTTACATTCACCCTTGTGCTCCTCTTCTCCAGAGCCGTCTTTTCTTTTAAAGTTCCACCAAAAGTTCAGTTCTTCATTGGGAGGTAAATTCCCATTTTCTTTTTCCTTTTGCCTTTTCTAGAAATTTTCTCCAAATACTTTCAAAGTCATTTTTTCACATAATCCTTTCTTTACTTTTAAGTTTGATGTTTGCATTTTAAATCAGTCAGGATTTAAAATGTGCAAAAGCTGGGTTGCATTTAAACATTAAAAAAACCAAGATTATGGCATCCGGATGATTGATAACTGGGAAATAGAGGGAGAAAACATGGGGGCAGTGACAGACTTTGTATTTCTGGGAATGAAGATTACTGCAAACGCAGACTGCAGCCAGGAAATCAGAAGACGCTTACTTCTTGGGAGGAAAGCAATGAGCAATAAAATAGTGAGGAGTAGGGACATCACACTGGCAACAAAGATTTGCATAGTCAAAGCAATGGCATTCCCTGTAGTAACTTGGATGTGAGAGCTGGACCATAGGGAAGGCTGAGTGAAGGAAGGTAGACGCTTTTGAACTGTGGTGCTGGAGGAAAGTTCTGAGAGTGCCTTGGACCACGAGAAGATCTAACTAGTCCATACTTCAGGAAATAAAGCCTGACTGCTCACTCCTCCTAAGGATACTAGAGACAAAGATGAAGTACTTCAGCCACATAATGAGAAGACAGGAAAGCTTGGAGGAGACAATGATGCTGGTGAAAATGGAAGGGAAAAGGAAGAGGGGCCGACCAAGGGCAAGATGGATGGATGGTAGCCTTGAAGTGACTGGCTTGAGCTTGAAAGAGCTGGGGGTGGTGACAGCTGACAAGGAGCTCTGGCATGGGCTGGTCCATGAGGTCACAAAGAGCCAGAAGTGACTGAACGAAAAAACAACCAAAAAAAGTCTGTCTGTAGAGTAGCTGACAACTTAAATATAGATACAGGAGCAGCAGATGTTACACAGACAATCTACAGAAAAGTGAATAATTGATCATAATTGATGCTAAATGCAGGTGAAGCAAAGAAAGAAATTAGATTTGGATAAAAGCAGACTGTTAATGCTAGAAGAGTTGAAGATTCAAGAACTGATGAGATCAGTTACTTAAGTTTAAGGGACTAATGGACTCAGCCACTTAAAGTTGAAATAATTAAAATCATATTAAGGGCTAAGCATGAGAGATGTGCCAGTATGCCAAAGAACACTTGAAGGAAGGAACTCCATATACGGCTGTAGGCTGGCCCTGTGTCAGAGGAAATGTGATTTATCAAAGGCTCTTTTGACAGTGCTTCTGATGTGATCCAAGGGTGAGGTATCATGGAGAAAGGGGGATTTAAATATGAACTTCATTATATTGTGTATGTGCATCTTTGTCTATCTTTTTTTTTAAAAGATGCATCTGCCTGCAGGTATATTTTATAAAATTTTCTGCTTCAAAATTTTGTAATCAGAGTATTTATAAAAAGGCTCCAAAGGGGTATATTTCTAACGCTTCTCCCTCCTCTGAGTGAATTATGTGCAAATTACATAGTTTTGTAGTTTGAACTTTGCTAAAACAAAGGAGGAGAAAGAAACAATTTTTAAATAAGAAAGTGGGATAACAGGATTAATTGGGGCTGTCTCTGTCAAATCAGAATAGTTGCAGTGTGTGGGTAGGCTGTAAGAATGGCAGTAACTTAGGCAATTGGTGCTTACCTTTGTATGATGATCCAACTTTGTAATCAGAATGGATTCTCCATTTGTTTCACCATTGTGAGGAAGCCAGTTGTTTGAATAGTATGGCCCTTGGAAACTGATTTCTTTGCATTTGTTATTCTGCAACCAGGTGGTGTCACTCTGAAGAGAATAAATAACCAGAAGCAGAAGCAATCGAATCATATCAATCAGTTGGGGATATTCCTGGTGTCTGAGATTATGCTGTGACTGTAGCTGCAACATCAATAATAGAGGAGAATACGTTCTTGCATACCAGAAGTTACTTGTATTTGCCATGGCCTTTCCAGAGCCCAAGCCCAAAAAGCCTGAGCTTCCAAAGAAACTGTTTGCTACACTGGAATGTAAACAGGGAGCTGTCAGAGCAGTGAGATTCAATGGTGAGTGTCCTTTGTCCTTTAAAGTGGCATAATAAGGGAGCCATCCTTAAAATGGTATAAGAAAGGTACTTTGCATTTCAACCAAGAACCAAAAGCAGGAGACAGATATCCTGCTTTTAGCAGAATAGGCAAACAGCATGCCATTTTAAAAAGAAGAAAAGCTTAACATTTTCAATACTTCACTCAAAAGTAACTGAAGAGTGTAAAATGAAATGAAAAATACTTTGTGCAGGTAGCTGATAATGGACCATATTATCAACTCAAGTTAGATTTATATGATATGCATACTGACATCACTTTTACATTAATGTGATTTATATGTACAATTGTCTTTATTAGATGGAGAGCAACAGACTATTCTCTAGCCCTTGCATGCACAGACTATTCTCTAGCCCTTCTGTGTGGGGAAAGCATTATGCTTTGTATGCTCCTGTAGGATCCCAATGAAAATGTTTAGCTGATAGGGATGGAGAAATGAAAAGGCAATTTCCTAGTATGAAAATAACGTCTAGTATGTAATTGTAAGTCTTGTGTCATTTGTTAAATCAGGAAAACAAACACAATAAGATGACGAATTGAGCTTTCTAGGGCAGAAATTTTGTGATTTTGGGGCAAATTGTGATGAAATATAACAGATTATTGTATCTAGTGGACTGAACAAAGATCAATCAATTATGTTACCTCTTTGTTTAATATAGTGGATGGAAATTATTGCCTCACCTGTGGTAGCGACAAATCGCTTAAGCTGTGGAACCCTCACAAAGGAACACTTCTTAAAACATACAGTGGCCATGGCTATGAAGTCCTGGATGCAGCAGGGTAAGCGGGATCAATTTTAAAAATAGGGGAAGGTGTCGTGAAACGCCTTCAGAAAATTTGAGATGGTCATAAGATTAGATGGTGGTGTATGCACTAGAATTGTTTTACTCTGGGTACATGGCTATAAGCAGAGTAATAAATGGAAGTTCGGTTACTGAAATTTCTCTCGTAAAAAGTTGTTTTGTTGCGAAATACTATGCTATGTAGAACACACAATTTCACCATAAAAGCAAAATATTGACTATTCTTGCGCCACTGGGGGCAAGAATGCAAATAACCCAACAAACAAAAAGCCATAACCATTAACATAAATTTATTTCTCCATCAAAGTTTTGGTAGTACATGAAATTGAAATGTAAATTCTTGTTTTGAAAGAACTTACTCTGCTTCTCTTGGAAACTTGAAGAGCAAAGTACCATCTCATGATGATAACAAATCCTGTTCAATCCTCACTCCAACTTTTGTAACCCATGTTATCAGTCCTATTTTCATCCTAATGACTACAAACTTGCTTCTGAAAAAAACCCCTAAAGGATAGATCACTCTTACTCAAGGAAGTCTGGGAATTGCATATTCAGTTTTGATAATGAATTTTAAGGAATTAAAATAAACGACTTTGCTGCCTGGAAACATTATTCATGTTGTTTTGCCCATGTGTAACTTTTGTCAATTTCTTTTTCATGCACAGGTCATTTGATAACAGCCAGCTTTGCTCGTGTGGAGCAGATAAAACAGTGGTGCTATGGGATGTTGCTACAGGGCAGGTGATCCGCAAGTTCCGTGGCCATGCAGGGGTAAGATGTGTGTTGACCATTACGGGTGGCAGTATTGTCCCTTAGGGGTGCAATAAAAGCCTCACGGCTTCATGCGGGTGATAATACAGTAGCAGGATGAGAGCCTTGGATCATGAAAATGAGAATATTGGAGCTTGGATCTCTCTCTCTGTCTAAAGAAGCCGTTTGTGTTGTTGGACAAGAAAATAAACTATGGGAGAGTGTCAAAGAAAGAAATTAACAAATCTTGTCTATGGTAGTCTGTTGCCCCCAGAAACCATTTCCAGACTGACAAATTAATTATACTTTGAGCTTTCATAGATATAGCCCACTTTATCCAATGGAGTGTTTTGGTCAGTTTTGGATGGAATTGTAGATACGGACATCAGAGAGAAATAAATTCCAGACAATTCCCCATCTGATGAAGTAGGCCATTACCTGAGAATGCTCATGCTGTAATTAATTTCCTGACATACATGTGCATGTATAGATGTACATATTCATACATAAATACCTTTCACATAATACACATACTGATGAAGTGTGTTATAACCAACAAAAGCTCATACTAAAGGAAGTTCATTAGTCTCTAAGGTTTAAATGCAACTATTTGGCTTACAGGGGGTTTAGAGATAGAAGAAGGGAGATTCCAGGGGTTCATATGGTTGCTGTAGAAATGCTTCATGTGAAGCTTAGAAAGCTGATGAAATGGAGAAATGGCATGTCAGCTTCCACCCATGAATCCAAGTCCTAAGGATGGTAAAGTAGATCGTAGACTGGGAGACAGTAGCAAAAGACTAAACTCTTTATTTCTTCCTCTGAGCAGAAGGTAAATTGTGTCCAGTTCAACGAGGAGGCAACTGTGATCCTATCTGGTAAGAAGCTCTTTCCTTATTGCCTGCTTCCCTGCTGCCCCCAAAAATTTTGGTTTGAGCTGTGGCTACCATACTCCCTCATTCTCATGCAGGTTCCATAGACTCCAGTGTCCGCTGCTGGGACTGTCGCTCGCGCAGATCAGACCCCATCCAGATACTAGACGAGGCCAAGGATGGTGTCTCCAGTCTGAAGGTGTCCGACCATGAAATCCTTACAGGGTGAGAAAAAATGGATCGAAGTTGGTGTTGAAGAAAAAATTGAATCCCACTGTGGTAGTAAGGCAGAATATACACAAAGCTGATGATGATAATAAAAGTTAATTCCCTGGTCTGCTTGGTCCAGATCATACTGGGACCTGTAAGGATTTGCAGTCCATCCCTGTTTATTTGATTCACCTATCAATTTTCAATAAGTAACAGGAAACAGCTCAAATAACTCCTGTGGCTGTAATAAAAGTAAAAAAAAAACCCTAATATTTCCACTCAGATATTGCTTGCTAAATATTCCTGCCTGTGCAGCCTGTTTTTCTATCTCTCGTGATGTTTGGTGTTCTGCTCAGCCAATTCCTTTTATTTTTTCTCTTTTTGTTTGTTTTGTTTTTGGGAGAGTAGCCTGGGTTTACATTTAGATAACAAGATTTTCCCCCACATCTATGAAGGATGCTATTGCCATTTCTTTTCAGAGGGCAGAGATGGCCCCATATCTGCCCTCTCTGTAGGCCAATATTGGTGACTTATGCAAACATGTGTAGGATATTCACTTTCCTATAGCAAAGGGGTTTGTATGGTGCTCTCCTTGTATCAGGTGATTTGAAGACCTTGTGCTGCAGATAGGTTAGTACTTCCTTTCCAACAAATGTCATATTGCTAACTTCCCGTGCCTTTCCCCCCCTCCCTCAGTTCTGTGGATGGGCGTGTCCGGCGCTATGACCTCCGTATTGGGGAGCTTTACTCTGATTACACTGGAAGTAAGTGCAGCAGATTTGATGCAACAATCACCATTTTTAGAATTATGTTTTCAATTTTTGCTACATTACTTTTGCCTCTGTTGCTTTGGAGAAGTGATGTGCCTTTCTATCAGTGGTTGTTCCTCAGGTTCAAGTTGATTACATCCTACAAAGGAGTATCTTGTATCTTTTTTGCCAGCCTTTATACTCAGACTATACAATCCACTAAATTACAGTGTAGTTTTCTTGATCCCCCAAAACCATCATCCTTTGTTTTTCGCTCTTTAGAAGTTTTAGTTCTGAGGAAAATGTCATCAATCTAGGAGCAGCAGGTTCTGAATGGAGTTGCACAGCCACTTGCATTTCTGCACATAAGGAACAATAATCACCATCTAGGTGTCACTGTGCTACAACTCCCAGCATTCCTCACCATTGGTCATACTGGTCAGGACAGCCGGGACTTGTACTCTCATGAGATCTAGAAGGCTACATGGTTCTCCATCCTCACCTTGCCATTCATACTGATACCCAGACTGCCCAACTGTTTTTCTTGCAGGCCCAATCACCTGTGTGTGTTTCAGCAAAGATGGCCAATGTACACTGGTGGCTAGTTTGGATTCTACGCTGCGATTGCTGGACAAGGAGACAGGCGAGCTACTAGGAGAGTAAGCAGTATAATTATTCTTTCCTATCGTTTAAAACTAACAGTAGCACTTAGAAAGGCGTGCTGTTTTTTCACTACTAAGAGTTGTATTCAGCTATTTATTAATAGATGTCTTCAAGTAAGAGTATAAAGAAAAAAGAGACTTGTGCAATATCAATCTTTATACATTCAGCAAATGCGCTGTGAGTAAGAGCCAGTCACTATCTTTGACTAAGATCATTTGATTGCCTTCTTCTAACTTGGTAACGACTGAAGTGGATGAGTGAAGAAAGCCTGGCTGAGATGAGCAGGTCTTCTCTTAATTCTACTCTGATTTCTCTGTAGATATACTGGCCACAAAAACGTAACATACAAGATGGACTGCTGTATGAGTGAGAGAGACACACATGTTGGGAGCTGTTCTGAGGATGGGAAGGTGTATTTCTGGGACCTGGTTGAGGTGAGCAGAACTCCCTGGGGAGTTTCCTCTGGACAGCACTGTGGCACTGCTGCCTCATGGGGAAAGAGCCACTGGTGTTGTGGCTGGCTATAGCGCATTGAGATTGAATTCCCCTTTCTTGGACAGGACAGGATCTGTCAGTGCAGGCAGTTTTTCAGATTTACTGTAAATTCAACAGAAAACACAAGAGTTTTGATCCGTTACATGACTGAAAGCAGCGATAGCAGTTAATTTTGGCTGGCTTATTTTAGTTTGGCCTGAATGAATAGCTAATAGCATAACCAGGGAAGCAGCAAGAGTTAACACAGGGCCGAGATAATTGAAAGCTAAATCATAGTGATCTGTGTTGTCGTTTATAGAGTGCCTTACAATTTTGCTCTTTGTCGCCTTGTCAATGTGATAAATTTTAATTTGTCCATGAGAAAGTAACATTTGCTTTCTTGTGAACAGGAGAATCAAGACGTTGCCTAGCATTTGTTCCATTTACACATGACGAATTAAACTGGGATTGTGCCTTCCTGATTGCATTAATTTAGCCTCAAGTGACTGTAGTTTGCACTTCTTATGCTGGCTATGATTTGTTTCTGTCTCTCTTCTATTCACTGGACCTCTTTTCACTGTTAGGAACTGGCCTTGAAGGGAGACACAGATTCCTTTGGCCTCTGTGCAAAGACCCTTCCAATGTCACTGAGCCCCTGTTGATTAGAGAGACAGCATTATCTCAAGGGTAATGGGAGGTAGTTGCCCTAGTGAGTGCCACTCCTGATTTGAATCTATTTTCTTATTTATTTGTTTTATATCCTTTCTTCCATGAAAGGACCTTGAGGCAGCTGATAATAAACTAAAACAAACACACAAAAGCACCAGAATAAAGCACAGTTGAGTAATGCACCAATATAAGGTGGGGCAACCAAGGCACAATCCCATTAAAGACATCTGTGGATTAAGCTATCTCCAGGTTCCTTGCTGAAAGTCTAATTGAATGGAAGATCTCTGACTGCAGGCAGAAGACAAGGGAGCCTGGGAATTAGTCATGCAGTCCCCTTCTTGAGGTGCAGCTAAGGTACATGCTATCTCTGGAAAGGTCTTGTGTTCTTCTAATCTTTACAAGTTTGGTTTCTTTCCTTATAGGGATCCCTGACCCTTGCTTTACCGGTGAGCAAAAGTGCAGTTCAGTCCCTGTCCTTCCATCCCACCGAGACTTGTCTGCTCACTGCTGCTGAGGGCCTGGTCCAGCTCTGGAGGGAAGACTCTTACGTTGCTGAGGAAGGACTAGTTGCCTGAATATTGTTGTCCTTTCCTAAGCAGATGGCCTGAGCTAGAGAGAGGACATCCTCTGGCATTTCTGTCTTCAGAAACACAGAAGATGTGTGCTACCTTCAGGGAGGAGTGTGGCAGGGGACCTGAAATAACCACAGTTTTGACTCTGTGACTTGAGCAGGACCAACTGTTGTTTAGAAGACCTGGCAGAGTTGCTATCTGGATCATCTTTAAGGTGGCAGAACACAAAGTGTTCCTAATGCATTTTTCAATTCAGTGACGAACAGTTTTTGTAAAAAAAAAAAAAAAAAAAAAGATCTTATGATGGAATTTCAAACCGTTTCATGGCTTGGAAGTCTGAATAACCAATTTTTGGGCTAGCAAGTCCTATTTGTACAAGATAATATAAGCACAACACTGGCTCATATACAACTAATTTATTCTTCAACCTGACCAACTCTCAATCATAAATCTGCACCCCCTTTCACACAGACCATCCATACCTCTTACTTATCCCAGTTCTCTGACAAACAAATTACCAAATGTTTGCCATATATCTATCTATCTATCTATCTATCTATCTATCTATCTATCTATCTATCTATCTATCTATCTATCTATCTATCTCGTGTCAGGAGTGACTTGAGAAACTGCAGCTCATCCGCCTCTCCCCGGATTTGAATCTGCGACCTGTCGGTCTTCAGTCCTGCCAGCACAGGGGTTTAACCCACTGCGCCACCGGGGGCCACACATATGAACTTTGTAATGTTGCAAGGTGTGTGTGTCTAGTCAATTCAGCCTATTTTGACAGAATTGGCATATATTCAAGTTTTCTTTCACAATATTGCTGAAACTTTTCCTTTTGCTATAAGGAAAAGTCAGAAAAGTCTCTCTGGACAATAAATAGTTGATTAGAAGGTTTGAGAACAACAGAAGTGGTGCTATATACAAATCTTCCCTTGTGCATGTTTGGGGCCATCCAATCAGAATGCTCTTATAGGGCTAAAATTTTCAACACATCTCCCTTCACTTTTGCAGTGTTTACTTAACTGTGTTCACCCTACACTGCTAGCTTGTGTATCCAAGCCCACTGGCTGGCATTCCCCTTTCCCTCTCCATCATACGTCCAAAAGAGCTTTGCTGGGTTGGATGGACCACAGGCTCATGTAGTCCTTGTGTTCCCATAGTGGCCAGTCAGTTGCCCAAGGAAAGACCATAAACAATGAGGAATGCCTCAGCACTGTGCCAGCTATTGAGAGACATATGTTAATTGGCACTGGAGCATGTCTATTCATCCTATTAGTAACTATTCATGGTTCTATCATTATTATTTAAACTACTCTGTATAAAGTAGTTGCACTTCTCTTTTAGTTGCTTAGCATTCTGATTGGTTGATTGAACCCATTCAGCTTTAACATTGGTCAATGTTTCATGTTGCCCCTTTGTTTCTCAACACTGAGATGATAGTTTTGAGTAACTCAGCCATAGGTCACCAAACTGGGCAGCTCAGCTTATTACATCATATCCTGGTAAGAAGCACTTGTTTTGCCACATTGTTTGAACTGGTTTTACGGGTCTGGGAAACCAACAGCCTTTTCTCACAGAGTCTGATCTCCACAATTGATGTATGAGGGAATAGAGGCTTAGGTGCATAGAATTAGCATTGCTTACATTTTAAAGAGCTCTTTCCAAAACAGGGGCAACATCTTCCTCTTGGCATTCAGGTTCTTATGGTACTCTGGACAATCTGAACTGATGGCCATAAACCTCTGGAATGTCCGTGGTGGCTCAGGTTTTGTTTGCCCTTACATATTTTGCAGCACTTACTGCTATTCAAATAAAAGGCTGACATGAGTTGGATGTTGGAGGCCAGTTCACAATCTTATTCCAGCCAATTTCCATTGCAATAAAATTTAGGCTTATGCAAAATTGTTTGCTGATGTGCTATAGGTTTGGAAGAAACCCCAGTCCAACCCCATGTAGGAATACACAATCAAATTGCTTCCAACTGATTGGCCATCCAGCTTTTGTTTAAGAGCCTTCAGCAAGGGGACTCTATCACATTCTATCACACTCTGAGGCAGCATATTGGAGAAACTTGCTGTCTGGATAGATTTTATCAGACTCTTAAAGAATACTATGCTCCAGAAAAACTTTTTAAGACTCACTATGCTAACCATTTTGAGGGAAACATGGGCTGAAAACTCTGCATAACACAGGAAGTCAATCTGTTGGCATGTGGTACCGAAGACTCAGGCAAAGCCAGAAAGTCAGAGATGACCCATAATCACCTTTCTCTTCACCCAGCAGCAGATTATCTGAGGCAAGGAGGTGATCAGCTCCAAATTAATAGTTGACCCTTTACTTGGCTTGCACAGCATTCCAATGCTGAGTGACATTTTGATGTGTAAACAGAAGCAAGGTTCAAAGGAATTAATGGACACTGGCCAGTAAAGGAGATGGTGAGATTACTTGAGAGATGCAGCTGCTTCTGGGGACAGCAAGGGAGGATCAGAACAAAAGGGCTCAGCAGCTTAGATGGAAGAACATCACTTTCAATTTCAAAGTTCAAACAGACAAAGGGATAAATATAAAAGACCAGGGACTATTCAGGTGAGAGTGGCAATCTGTTTTCCCAGCAGTGGAGTGTAACCTCATTATTGTAACTTCCAGGAATAAGTATTTGTGGGATATATTCTACTTTATGTGCCATAATAGTTTGTCCAGTCTTGGGTAATGTGCATTGGGACCCGAGTTGAAGTGTTATTTCACGCTCACTATTTATCAGGTTTGTCTTGTGAAAGACTCCATAGTGTTGCAATTCTAACACCAATTACCACACTTAATGAATGTGTTGTAAAAAGCATGATACAAAATTTTGTACAGTGACAACTTCAAGCTAAGCCCCCAAGAGGGAGCTTATAAACAATATCTGTGACCGATAGTCCACCATTGCAAAACGGTTCCCTCCCAGCCAAGAAATAGCTATTTTTCATCTGGCAATCAGAGGGCTTCTTGAGGGGAGTATCTTACATCTATTGTCCCTTGCTGCTAAGGCAGGCTTTCTGCCCTGTTGGAGTCTGGCTTTATGTCTGGAGAAGCAGCCAGCTGCACCATCAGTCAGGGATTCAGGGCTGTGGAACAGCTGTCAGTTCCCTTGGAAAGAATGAAGGCAAATGTATAATGGATTCACAAGAGCCACTGGGTTTGAGAAGACCTATAACTTCTTCCAGGACTGCTCCAAATTAGAGGCCAATAGAAGTTATGCTATTCTACATTGTTTATCTGTAAAAGGCCAGGGACTTCGAATTTAATCAGGGTTTGAGAGGTTGAATATAGCTTGCTTTGGCTGCTAAAACCAACAATTGGTTGAGTTTGCTAGAATATATGGTTGCTCTCTTCCCTTTCAATGTGAATAATGTATGCTCAGGAAACTACCTGTCTTGAGCATACATTTTTCTTCAAGACAAATATAACATGGTATCCCCATATACCTAAACCGGCCGGGTGATCCTAGAATTACAGAATAATAGGTGGAAGAGACCACATGGGCTATCTAGTTCAACTCCCTGCCATGCAGAAAAATCACAATCAAAGTACCCCTGACAAATGACCATCCAGCCTCTGTTTAAAACCTTCCAAGGAAGGAGCTTCCACCACACTCCAAGGCAGAGAGTCCCATTGCTGAACTGTTCTTACAGTCAGGAAGTTCTTCCTAATGTTCAGGAGGAATCTCTTCTCCTATAATTTGAGCCCTTTGCTCTGAGTCCTCATTTCCAAGGCAGTAGAAAAAAAGCCTGCTCCCTCTTCCTTATGACATCCTTTCATGTCTCTTCTCAACCTTCTCTTCTGCAGACTAAACATCCCCAGCTCTTCAAGACATTCCTCAAAGGGCATGGTCTCCAGACCTTCGATCATTTTAGTTGCCCTCCTCTGGACAAGTTCCAGCATGTCAATATCACTCTTAAATTGTGATGTCAAGACTGAAGTTTAGAGTACCTCTGGACTCAGCATTGAACTGGGGAGGCCCAGGTTTTGGCAGTGGCCAGGAGTGCCTTTGCACATCTAAAACTTGCGCACCAACTCCTCCCATTCATTGGAATACAAGATCTGACCATGTGTCAGTTACATCCTATTTTGATTACTGTAACACACTACTTGGGGTTACCTTTGAAGAGTGTTTGGAAACTCTGGCTAGTCCAAAGAGTTGTGGCCAGATTGCTAACTGGGGCTAGCTACAGGGATTGCACAACTCCCATTGCAGCAGCTCCATCAGCTGCTAGTGTGTTTCCAGATACAATTTAAAGTGCTGGTTTGACCTATGAAGTCCTGTATGATTCATTTCCAGGTTATTTGGCAGATTGTATATCCCTGTACAAACCTGCTCAGGCTCTGCAATCCTCAGGAGAAGCACGTTTGGGGGGATGCAAGAGAGGGTCTTCTCTGTGGCTGCCCCTCATCTCGGAAAGCTCTGCTTAAGGAAGCCAGAATGGCCCCCTCCCTGCTGTCCTGGCAGTAGGCTAAAATCTTGCTTTTTAAGGCAGGTTTCTAATGAATAAAGTTTAGAGTGAGCCAGGGCGTGCTGAATAGTATTTCAATTTTTTAACACATGTGTATGCTTACTTGTATTTTAATATTCATAGAATCATATGAGTTGGAAGAGACCTCATGGGCCATCCAGTCCAACCCCCTGCCAAGAAGCAGGAATATTGCACATTCAAAGCACCCCTGGCAGATGGTCATCCAGCCTCTGTTTAAAAGCTTCCAAAGAAGGAGCCTCCACCACACTCCAGGGCATCAATTCATATGTTGATGATTTAAAATTGTATTTTTAATTGCTGTAAGCCATTTCACATTTCAATCACAGAGATAAAAATGTGATATTATTATTATTATTATTATTATTATCATTATTATTATTATTATTATTGATAAGTGGTAATAGGAGCAGTGAGATTTGGACTACAGAGGTTCTGGATTGTAGTTTTGTCTGTTAGCCATCATACCAGATTTTCTGTAAATTTAGAGGGCAAAATCTTTAGTATAGCATTTATTATTATTATTACTATTAATATTATTTCTTCATGTATTTCTACCCCATCCTTCTCACCCCTGAAGGGGGACTCAGGGTGGCTTCACAACAGGCATTCAGTAAATGCCAAACAATTAATGCAAATAAAAACCCATTAAAACAAATCAATTGAAACATCAATCACAGAAACAATTACTAAAATCATGTGAGTTTAAATTCGTAGTCCGGGTCGGTCCACTGTCCATCATACAAATTGGGTCTCATTCTTGGATTGTTCCCATTACTGTTTGAATGCTTGGTCCCAAAGTCAGGTTTTGAGACGGGGGGAGGGGGCCAATCTGATGTTACTGGGAAGGGAGATCCACAGGTGATGGGCCACCACTGAGAAGGCCCTATCTCTCATCCCCACCAATCATGTTTGTGAAGATAGTAGGACTGAGAGCAGGGCCTCTCCTGATGATCTTAAACTTCGCAATGGTTCATAGTGGGAGATACGTTCGGACAGGTAAGCTGGGCCAGAACCGTTCAGGGCTTTATAGGCTAAAGCCAGCACTTTGAATTGTGCTCGGTAGCAGATTGGCAGCCAGTGGAGCTGGTGAAGCAGAGGGGTGGTATGCTCTCTGTACGCCGTTCCAGTGAGCAACTTGGCTGCTGATCATTGGACTAGTTGGAGTTTCCGAACAGTCTTCAAAGGCAACTCCACGTAGTAATCTATTTGGGATGTAACAAGAGCATGGACCACCGTGGCCACCATTCACTTTTGCCATGTAATTCAAAAACTTCCACATACAGTTAGGTAGAGGACCAACCTTGTGCTCGAGCTAGAAAAGCAACCAACCTGAAACAGGAAAATAAAAGAGCAACTGCGGTGTTAGTGCAGAACTGCAGTTTCTACCAACGAATATACATAAAGAGACATCCATGGTGCCTTGCTTGGCAAATTGCATTTTTTTTCTGAAACAAAGACGTGCTTAAAAATACATGCTATTGCCATGAGACATTAATGAATCGCATCAACTTCAAATCACCCATCATTGTAGAACATCTTTAATTAAAATGTAAACAGTTATCAGAACAGGTTAGCGAGAGGTTCATTTACTCCCCTCCTTTATTTCTGCCCACTCCTCCTCTTCCTCAGGTTGACACTTCTTGGGCTCAGAGGCACTTGTTCACTCTCATACCCATTTCTTTGAATGACCAGCCCTGAGACACTATGCCACTGAAGACAGGTATGTTAGGCGTGGCCAAGGGATCAGAGGATGCCATGAGTGCTCATGAAGAAGATATGAGAGCTGCCAGGGAAGGGGCCGGGATGAACACTGGCACACCACTCTCTGTCCAAGACTGTCTGGTATACTTACATGAGACTAATTCAAGCTGAAACTCACCCCCCTGACTTTACAACACATGCAAAACAAAAGACCAACAACTCAGCAAGGAGTGGCACTTCGGACCCCGAGAGGCGATCACCTGGGACGCTTGAATTTCAGTGTGGATCAAGGTTTGTCATCCCATGCCGAACCTCCAGACTTCCAAAGAGATACCACCAGAGGCAGCTACTGCCATGTTTCCTGCAACACTGATCTGCAAAAGAAGACAGGGCAGTGAATTGGGGTGAGACAGGTGTTAACCCAGCTTTTTTGGTTTTTTAAAGAACAGTAATTTGTTCAATATTCCTTCAGCCAGTAGGAACTCTTCAAACAGACTAAGCACACCTCACAGAAGTGAAGTTATACCCTCAAACCCCATATAGTAGAGTAGCTATGGATGCTTTTAGATAGACATCCTCCCCCCAAAAGGAACGAATGAAAAAGCCATGAGCAGTACAATATATATTTTTCCTTAATGACAATGGTAACAGGTTGCATTTTAAAAAGTGATGGTCAAAGCTCTGTACAAACTGCCTGCCACCCTGTTGCCCTTACCCCATTTAATACACAATTATGTGTCCGTGAACCAACAATCTTGGGTGGGTCTGTGGGAAGATGTACCTGGAAGAAAATACAATTGCTTTAGTACTGGAAGCTGAAAGGCTAATAAACTGAAACAGTTGACTTCGTCAAACAACAAACATCAGAGGGTTGAGCAAAAAAAAAACAACAAAACAAAAAAAAAAACCCCAGAATTGCAAAATGGTTGTTCCAATGGAATGATATGGTTTAACTCAATTCTCTACATCTAAAGTCGACGAGGCTGACAGAGAAAAGGCAATATAAACTGATGTGAAACGACCACATATGGCCCTTGTAATCCATCCCTAAACTACAGATTAATCAACTAAAAATTGGAAATTGTTTATATTTGCAGCTTCTGTTGCATTTTATTGATTTTAACTAGTGGGGTTTTATGATTTCATGTGGTCTGTTATTGTTATTGTGATATTGTTTATGCACCTATTGTATTTTGTGTATTTGCACCTTTGGGTGCTTTTGTGAGCCACCCAGAGTCCCTTCGGGGAGATGGTGGCGGGATGTAAATAAAGATGATGATTATGATTATGCTAAGGTTGGTAACAGAATCCAAAAGTTCTGGTTATTACATGCAGAACTTCAAAATGGCATGAAACATCACTGCCATTGCAGAAAACATAGCAAGCTTCTCAATAAACACACATGAAACAGACAGAGATCGGAATCAAACTGGCTTGTTCATTCCTAATTTAGAATGGTAATTTGAGTGTGACAATTCTTACACGCAGCGTCTTGTCAGTGGAAGTTGTGTACAGGGCTCCCAGCGAATGTTGGATTCCAGTGATCTGGGAGTGATGACCCACATTGAAATGCTAAGGAAAGAGCAAACAGTGAGGCCTGGAGAATGTACCATTGGAGACAATAAAAGAGCATTTGTCATCTACAGCATTTGAGTCTTCCATACTCAACCAATGGCTACCTCAAAACTGCTTCAGTGAAAAATACTGGTTTGGTTTTATGGGCAAGAAAAATGATCAAAATAGATTTCAAAGGTGAATGTCAGATGTGTTAAACATGTCTTTACAACCTATCATAAACAACATTTTGACGCTATAATTTCAAAAGCACACATTGTTTTGCAGGTGGAGATTAGAGAAGTACCCTATTTCTCTGTTTCTCCATGATTCAATGTCTCTCGGCATACCTGGATGCGCTGAAAGCCCCCTCCTTTGTTCTCAAAGACATACACCAGCCCATGGTTGTCTCCAGCCCACAGCTGATTGCCGTGATATGACATAGAAAGGAGGTAGGTGTCCAGCTAAAGAAATAAATAAAACAATGTCACTGAGAGTGGGAGGAATAAGCAAGAGGCTCCCAAGACACATATTTTCCTGCAGTAAGGACTGGCTTAGTAGACTGTTAGGAATTGTGGGAGTTGACGTCCAAAACACCTGGAGGGCCCAAGTTTGCCCAGACCTGCCCTAGCTAATAACTTACTAATACGAACTATGTGGAAATTTCTAACTCTAATATGGAACTCGGCAACACTGGAGGCTAGAGGCAGATTTAGCATGAAACTATTGGTTAGGGCCAACTGCTTTGTTGCTTTTGTTTCCCATGTGTCCAGTACACCACTTTGTCATTCACTGAACAGTCACCACTTTCGTGTCTATGATACAGCAGACTCTTGAGCCAAGTTGTTAATTCTTCAACTTCAACTTCATCACTTTCCACATAGATGAGTCTGTTATAAAACTAAATTCAGGAGGCATTTTCTTTTCTTTTCTTTTTTTTGGGGGGGGGGTGTATTTATATTTCTAAAATTCAGTAAAAACTATACACGTATAGGTCCCAATAAGCAAAAAATCCCTTAATTCTAGAACATTCAGCTGACTGAGCCTTTGGGTGCTGCTAAGCATAAGACATATAAACCCCAACCTCTCAACTGAAGCCAGTCGATTTAGCTGGGTCTTTACATCAGCCCAAAAATAACAAGTACTTAAACATACAGTTGAAGAAATAAGGATTTTCATTCAGAAACTCAACAAGAAAGTACCTAAACAAACTACGGATTTCATATACCAATCCTTGCTTGTTTTCAGGGAATGTTTGCCCACCCTTCTGAGGAAAAGGAGATTCATGGGCTGTAGCTCACCGGCAGCCTCTGCAGGACACTGTTCGTTCGCCTGTCAAAACACACAAGTGTCCGGTCCTCACTTCCAGAGAGTATGAAGTGCTCATCAGCTGCAAGGGATAGGACTGCGCTGGAATGAAGCTTGCGCCTTTTCACTAGGGCTTGAGCAGCTGCAGAAGGTGGCCAAGAGATTATCCACAAAAGCTCAGCTACTTACACAAGATAGATCTCAAAGTATAGGCAATTCATTCAAGTAATACCTCCCAGATACGTGCCCTCCACCTTGAACACTCAATTATTCACTTGACATTCCTGTGATTAGGCAGTAAATGGAAGCAAACGTGGCCACCTCTCGACTTCTTTCTCTGCAGCTCTCTGACCACTCTCTCCCTATTGTGCCCCCCACTAACCCATCTGTAGAATAGGAAACACTCTTTACCTTTAAGCAATTCATATTCTTCTAACTAACACAAGTAATGTTAGCATGCAGTGTTTTATTGTTCAATATGAATCCATTGTCAATTAAGAGATTTAAATTGGGAGAGATCTGGATGTGAAGGAAACCCCCCCCCCCTCCGATTTCTACTTGCTTGCCCTGCCCCTTCTCCTTCCCAGGAAGGAACTAACAGGTAGCTTATCCATACAGCCTTAACTACTCAGAGCATTTCTGTTGCACCTGAGTAAGGCAACAGATGCTCAGACACATATACTCACAGGAAGGAGCTGCCACTAACCTCGTGGATCATATACTGACACCTTCTTGTCATAGGTTCCTGTCACCAGGATGTCAGGGAGGTAAGCAAGGCATAACACAGCTGCTGTTGCACTACGATGAGAAAGAAACAGAAACGTATTCTTAAATTCCTAGGTAGTGTAGATTTCAGTAAAAAGATTAGTTGAGTCTTTAATTATTATTTGATAGCTAAATAACACAATTTATCCTCATTCTTTTTCCTTCTATGTTTCTGTATCTGGTCTTTTCAATGAATCTTTGACATATAGTAATTTGGAAGATCATTCAAGCCCATTGGCACTTGATTCTGCCTCCAAGACTAAACTGCTTAAGTGTCTTCAGCCTTTTAAATGGCTACATGGACTTCTACATGATCCTAATGTTTCTATGCTCAATTTGGTCAGAGAATTTAGTTACTATACCCTTACCAACCCTGCCTTTGATGCACTATATTTCTTCAATTGCAAGACACCAATTGTAAGATGAACTCTAATTTCAGTACACCACCACCAACAGAAATATGTAAGATACATCAGTGATTCTAAAACACTCCCCATTTCTAGAGATGTTTATATAAGGGAAAAGTGCATCTTAGAATTGAAAAAATACAGTAATTTAGCACTTTCATCTTTTACATGAACGCCACAGAGACAAGTGCTCATCCTTTCACACCCTGCACTGCTCATGAAAGCTCACGTGGCTTTGACCTCATATTCAAGTTTGTGGCCAAAGTCCTGAAATTTCTATTTTCAGCCTCCAGTTCAGTGGTTCCCAGCCTTTGGTCCCCCAGTTGTTTTGGATTTCAGCTCCCAAAAATCTTAGCCAGCTTACCAACAGTTAGAAATTGTGAGAGCTGAAGTCCAAAACACTCGGAGGACCAAAGGCTGGGAACCACTGCTCTAATTGAAAGCTTTAGGGGAGGGCAATGGGACCCTGGTACCTGATTTCATCAAATTGTTTCCCCTCTGCAGCCATGTCCCACAGCTTCACTGTGCTGTCCCAGGAGCCTGAACACACACGGTCCTCTCTTGCCGCCAGTGACCACACCCAGCCCTAGGCAGAGGGAAGGAAAGGGAACAAGACCTGTCACTAGGCTTCAGAACGCCTTGTGGGTCATATACTGACATCTTGTTATTGGAGTCCTTGTGGACAACAAGTTATACATGAGCCAACAATGTGATGTGGCGTCAAAAAAAGCCAATGGGATTTTGGCCTGCATCAATAGGAGCATAGTGTCTAGATCTAGGGAAGTAATGCTACCCCTCTATTCCACTTTGGTTACACAACACCTGGAATATTGTGTCCAATTCTGGACACCACAATTCAAGAGAGATATCGACAAGCTGGAATGTGCCCAGAGGAGGGCGACTAAAATGATCAAGGGTCTGGAGAACAAGCCCTATGAGGAGCGGCTTAAGGAGCTGGGCATGTTTAGCCTGAAGAAGAGAAGGCTGAGAGGAGCTATGATAGCCATGTATAAATATGTGAGAGGAAGCCACAGGGAGGAGGGAGCAAGCTTGTTTTCTGCTTCCTTGGAGACTAGGACGCGGAACAATGGCTTCAAACTACAAGAGAGGAGATTCCATCTGAACACGAGGACTTCCTGACTGTGAGAGCCGTTCAGCAGTGGAACTCTCTACCCCGGAGTGTGGTGGAGGCTCATTCTTTGGAAGCTTTTAAGCAGAGGCTGGATGGCCATCTGTCAGGGGTGATTTGAATGCAATATTCCTGCTTCTTGGCAGGGGGTTGGACTGGATGGCCCATGAGGTCTCTTCCAACTCTTTGATTCTATGATTCCATATATTTAGCAACACTGAATTATCATTCCAGAAATATGTTCTAATTCACTTTTGCCATGTCAATTTTAGTGGAGGACAGTCCTAGGTGATTGATTGATTAATTAACCACTGTCAGAAGAACCAAAACGTTAATTCACTGTTCTGTTCCTTGTAATGGTGGCTACTGTTAAATCAGCAAGCATGGATACTGGGAGATTCTGGGATTTCTTTTCCCCTAAAGGCATGTAGTTCTGATCCATCTCTAGATGGATATGAGAAATTAGACTGCCCTCGCTCAGGAAGGAGGCTGAAGTGCAAAATGGGGGCGGTGCTGATATCACAGAGTTTATGGTCCTGGAAGACAATGAAACAACTGGACTGTGAAAGTGGTGCAATATCCCCTCCCTGCTTCATAGGGACACATTGCCATTAAGTCAGAAGAGACAGGAAACCAGGAGCAGCTCCAGCCCCTATGCCTTTCCCTAGGCAAGAAAGGCCAGTTTTGTGTCAGAATAAAAAACATATATCCAGCTTTTTCGTTTTAACTCTTTGGGTTTAGGTTTTGCTACAAAAGGCCATTTGGGGAGGTAGTTTACACAACTCCTTCTTAAACTCTTGAGTCCCAACTCCAAATGGGGTCCCCTTAACTCAATGTTGGGGGTCACCAAAGAATGGCAACAGTAAAAGGTTTCTAAATGTCACCCATTTACACAAATCTGTTAGAAATAGCATACAGTGTTACAGTAGACCTTGTACTCTGCAGAAAATGCTTCAGCTCTATTTCATAAAAAGGAAAAACAGTCTGTTTATCAAGCCTTGAAAATATCAATTTATTTTCAGGAAATGTTTTATTTTTACATCTATTTTATATACCTGGGGTTATGTAAATATTTCTTGAGCAGAAAGGCCCAAGCAGCCCTGGTTCAGACTGTCTGCTTTGTTTTTTACACATGTTTTCTTGATTAATGCACTCTGCTTTGTAAAAAAGATGGAAGGATAACAGAAACCTGGATCTAAAGATAATTCCTGCTCTAAATAGTTGTTGATATTAAAGAACTGAGGATACTGTGCTTTTGTATATTGAACATATCCATGAGTGGATAAATATAAAATAGGAGAAACAACAAATCCTGCATGACAAATCCATTGAATGTGTTTAATTAGGGAGAACCAGGTTTCTCATTCACTGTAAAGGTTTCCCCTTGACATTAAGTCTAGTTGAGTCTGACTCTGGGGGGCGGTCCTCATCTCCATGTCTAATCCAGAGAGCTGACATTGTCCATAGATACCTCCTAGGTCATGTGGCCAGCATGACTGCATGGAACACCATTACCTTTCTGCCGGACTGGTACATATCGATCTACTCACATTTGCATGATTCTGAACTGCTAAGTTGGCAGAAGCTGGGGCTAACAATGGGAGCTCATCCCACTCCATGGAGTCGAACCACCAACCTTTCAGTCATCAAGTTCCACAGCTCAGTGGTTTAACCGACTGCGCCACTGCAGTTGGTTAAACCACTGCAGTTGGTTAAATAGGATTGATATTATAGGATTTCTACTAATAATTTTTAATACTTATCAGCAGATGGTAAATTTTAGTATTCCAGAGCTGTTTTGTTGCCAAATTTTCACAGAACAAAATGAACAAAATAGGACTTTTATGGTACTGTCACTTCAACAATTTTAAGCAATGTCCCTGGATTTCAGCAAGCCACCATGCATATTTATATTTATCCCCCCCTTTCTTTCTCTCTCTCTCTATATATATATTCTCTGTTCATTTTGTGTGACATCATAACTCAAAATCCGCTGGACAAATTGCTACCAAATTTGGCCACAAGACATCTACTAACCCAAGGAGTGACTATCACTCAAAAAATTATTTTGTTATTTGGGAGTTGTAGTTGCAGGGATTTATAGTTCACCTACAATCAAAGAACATTCTGAACTCCACCAATGATGGAACTGAACAATCCAGCCATAGATATAAATAGATATGATTCACACACACACATACATATATGTATATGACAGATATTGTATAGATTTGAAAGGAACCCCTAAAGTAGGACAATTATATGTTGCATGTTCCAGAGTAGGCAAACCAGACAATCTCTACATCAACACTGACAAAGAAACAACAAGAAATACCATTTACCCACAAGCATAAAGAAATTACATATATTAGAAACCAACACTTTCTCATTGATTTATTTTCCAGATCACTAGAACGGGCCACTGTAATGCGTGGCAGGGGATGGCAAAAAGCAGGATCAAAAACTGGCTCAAGAAGTGTACTACATTTTGTCATTGAGGCAGTTATTTTGTCTCATACCATACTGGAATTTGTTTTATTCAATAGAGGCAACTTTAAACACTGTTTTCCTCTTGGGTTCACAACTATTTGGGGGGGGGGGGGCACAACAGTTAAGAACAACAGTGGCACCATTTTGGGCACAAAGAAACCATAGACTTTGGATTACCTTATGAGTGCTATTGCGCTCTGTTCCCAGTGTCTTCACCAGCACCTTTTCATGTGCTTTGCCTAACTGCCTCAGGTCCCACAATACGACATTTCGGTCCCGAGAACCAGACACACATAACTCCCCACCCTAGGAAAAATCACAAACTAGAAGGAATGATGTAATAAGGTAAAGCAAACATTCAAATATGAAACTCTGCCAAATGTGAAACTACAGTATGCATATCTCCATATCACCTATTCTAAACATAGTGGCTGGATTAATTTGGTTCAAACTTGGGCAGCAACAGGCCAAGGAAGTCTAATAGAGGCAGTGGAAGGAGAGGGAGCTTTACTAGGCACAGTGCAGCCTGCAGCACACCTTGACAGGATAATTTTCAAATCAACCATGGCAATCATGAGAAATAACACCTTTAAAAACCAAGAATCAAACCATGTGCCACAGCTGATATTTTGCTCCCTGGAGATATTGTTACAGGATATAGGATTAATATTCTGTTCTGTGATATCCAAAACAAAACAAACACAGGATCTTCAGCTGACCATTTTATTGTACACATTTTATCGTTTATCACTGGTATGTGCTCCAAAAAGAGACAATAAATACCTAGCAATCATACCCCAGAGCTGGCCAGTCAAACACTGAGGGGCTTTCTCTGTCAAACCACAATACGATACAAGTGAAAGCAGTACAGAAACGGAACAGTCTTTACCTGAATGAGCAGCACAGAGTCAACAGAGGCAAAGTGTCCCTCAGTAAGGGAAAAGTAGTCTATATCTCTGCCATTTTCCGCCCATTTCTGGAGGTGCTCCTCTAGCTCAATGCATGCGGTTGGCCAATTAAAGTCACCATCTGCTGAGACATGAAAGGAGCATTAAGGCATAATACTCTCCCTTTGAACCATGTAGACCAATATCAAGCAATGCAGGGCAGTTTATGGATTGGATTTACATTCATATACCGATTTTCCACACTGAGATAAAAAAAGATCACAACTGTGAGATAACCTCAAAACTTACTATGAGTTCTAGACTCGCTTACACTGAAGAGTGAAAATGCTTTATCTTTAAACTTCAGAGAAGCACTCAGTACTATCAGCTTGCAAACATTACTGAGTCCAAGTGCAACCTTCTGAAAGTGACAAGCATAGTTAAAAGGGAAACAGAATCAAAAGTGTATCTCATACATATGCTTGGCCACCGTCTATCCCAGCTTTAGTTACATAAGCAAGAGAAGACCTCGTTATTTATAGTTTCCAACAATTTAACCAACTATATTACCCCAGGGGCTTCCTGCCAAAAAAGAACAGGAAGCTTATTCTTGTTTGTCTTTCCTAACTTGAAATTTCCTAAACAAACACCAGCTCTCCAACTTGTTTAGGGGCAAAATCTTATCATACACAAGAAATATTATTTTGGAAAAGCTAAACTGTATTTATATTAATGGGAGACTAGATAAAAGAGTAAGTGGTCACTTGCCTTTCACAACCGGATAGCAGCTGCCAATCTTCTTTAGCAGGCGAATTCTCCAAGTGATGTCATCCTGCACAATGTCCCTTAATGTCTTGCAGACCAAAGGAAGGACACCCAAGACAAACCTGGCCTGAAGGTACGAACAGATTTTCAAGATCAGCTCCAGAGGAAGAGATAACAGCCTTGAAGCTGCCTCATCAGTAACAGGAGACTTTTTTAGGTCCAAATGAGGAGACTGTTTCTCCACCTCCTGTGATCCCTCTTCTACTGAGAGAGATTCAGGAGGCAGGCACTTAGATGCTTGGCAGGGCTGGCCCGAAGACCTAAGAATACGGTCAACATACTCCTGGGCCTGGGTGTCTGGATCGGAACTATTTTCTGTGTCAGAATCATCATCAGAGGCTTGTTCTTCAGCATAAAAATCTGGTTCAGGATTCATGGCTACATGCAAAATAGAAAGAGTACGAGTAAGAAAATGTGTAACTAGAAGCATACAACCAGTCCCTTATATCCATGGATTATATCATCCATAGCATCACAAATGCTGCATTCACAGATTTTCAAAATGCCAAAAGCAATCCTTGATTTTGTCATTTTATGCAAGGGACTCATATTATGTCATTGTATATAACTGGACTGGATAATTCTGAGGACCAAGATCTATTGGAAATTCCCAGTGTCAAGACCTTGCGTCTAACAGCAACCAGACGCAGAGCCTTTACAGCAGTGGCACCATCACTCTGGAATACTCTGCCACCTGAAGTCCGTGCCTTGTGGGACTTATCAGCTTTCCGCAGGGCATGTAAGACATACCTGTTTCGACAGGCCTTTGATTTTTAATATTGCTGTTTTTAAATTGTTTTAAATTGTTTTTAAATTGTGTTAGATTTTAGCCATTCTTGTAAGCCGCTCCGAGCCCCAGGGGAGTGGCGGCATATAAGTTCGAATAATAAATAAATAAATAAATAAATAATCCACCAATATGGGTATCCCTGGGGGGGGGGGGGCTTCCAGGAACCACACCCCAGCAGATACTGTATAGTGTTTTGGTATCAGTATAAATTTCTACATCTTTCACAAGTGTTTTTAACTGTGTTTTTAACTGTGCTGTGATCTGTGGGTAAGAAATAAAAGAATAATAACAATATAATAATAATAATAATAATAATAATAATAATAAGAAGAAGAAGAAGAAGAAGAAGAAGAAGAAGAAGAAGAAGGAGAAGAAGACATAAAGGATGAAGTTTTAAAACAAAAATATTCACAAGAGCAATCTTCGGGCTTTTCTTAGAAAGACTTACAAACAAGTAAAAAATAACATATATGGAGAAAAGTATGAGCTCATGAAAAACAATTCAGAGGCTCTCACCAGAACTTATTCCTATTCCGATTGTTACAGTATATGTGAATGGCAACAAGGACAAGAGTGAGGTTGCACATCATCTTTTTTCTGGCCTACACATGTTTCTCTCTGAAGGTTACAAACAATCCCACTTAACCAGAATTCGAAAAGACAATCATACCATCAGGTATAGCACAGCACCTGCAAAAATCTCTATTCTGGACTACATTTCCCAGAATCCACCAACCAGTATGCATAGTCATGAGTCACTCTGGCTGGGGAATTCTGGAGACTGTTTCTTCTAAAACTATCTGGGAACTCTGCTCTCCGGGAAGACCACATGCCTCTTCTTTGCCTCCAAATCTATCCTTGATGTTCTCAGGTTAAAAAGTGGAAGGCCCTACCTAATTGCCAGCGTTGAAGATTAAAAGGACTGTCCAGTTTGGTTCTCTATGGAGATAAGAGGGGAGGACTTGCTTCTCTTGGGCCTCAGGCGGCAACATATCTTGTGACAGACCTGAAAACTCCAAATGACTGCGCACTTCACATCCACAGTCACAGGGAACAAGATGTCTTCACACAGACTTCGCTCAAGACCTTCAAAAGAACCTGTAACTGGAAGAAAAATGAAGGCAGTGGACACGATTCCTTCCTTATCCATGACTTTTAGAAATGGTTTCTTCTCAAAAGTGAGGCTAGTTCAAGAGCAAGAAACGTGTTCTTCTGAGAAGTTTAGTCTACACAGCCACTGAGACTCAGAGAAGTTTCTTGCTGTCGATTGCCACCAAGCTGAGTTCGACTTACAGAAATCCTATGAATTGGAGGTCTCCAAGGGTGCGTCTACATTGTAGAATGAATGCAGTTTGACAGCACTTTAACTGCCATGGTGCAGTGCTGTGGTTTTACCAGGTCTGTAGACTTCTTTGCCAAAAAAGTGCTGGCGCCTCACCAAACTACAGCTCCTAGGATTGAGCCAAGGCAGTTAAAGTGGTGTCAAACTGCATTCATTCTCCAGAGTAGAAGCACCCTGTCCTCAATAGCAAACTTTAAAAAAATTGCCATCTGGCAGATGGTACAGGGTGAGAAAGACAAGGACAGACAGACAGAGCTTTTCTCCTCCAGCTGTGGCTATGTTGAACTCTGTGGGTTGGCACTGGGAGTTGTGCAGTATGTTGTTATGTGGGTTTTTGTGTGTGTCAGGAGCACCAAGTTGCTTCTGGTGTGAGAAAATTGGCAGTCTGTAAGGATGTTGCGCAGGGGATGCCCAGATGTTTGGATGTTTTGCCATCCTTGTGGGAAGCTTCTCTCATGTCCCCGCACGGGGAGCTGGAGCTGACGGGGGGAGCTCATCCGCGCTCTCTCCGGATTGAGTCCTCCCATTGCCATTGCGCCACCGGGGTGTGGTTTATGTTAGGGTAGGTGTTTAATTTCGCTGTGCAGTAAGTAGTCCAATGACAATAAAGCTATTCTATTCCTGCTCAGATCTTGCAGGTTCAGGGCCTCCTCACGACAGCTATCACTCCCCACCCGACACACACGCGCGCGCATTGGAAACCCGGTGGCAAACCATGGAGCTGCTGACTGACGGAAAGGGTAAGGCTCTGTTGCCGGGGGGCGGAAGCAGGGCCCTCCTTCTCTCCTCTCTCTTTCTCTCCCGGCCCCTCCTTCTCTCCTCTCTCCCGGTTCTTTCGCGCCTCCTTCGCTGCGAGGCCCAGCCAACCGCCCGCCTCACCCTTCTCCGCTCATCCCCGGCACGGACGCTTCCGCCCTGGACGGCTCACACAGCCTTCGCGCGTCCCCGTCGCCTAGGGAAAGATTACTTCCGGCGCACGGCGATGACGACACGAGCCCGGCCTTCTATTCCAGGGCGAGGCACTTGGGCGGCCGAAAGGGAGCCCACTTTCACTTGATGCAGGCAAGGGCCAACTTGGGCCCTCCCTCCAGGTGTTTTGGACTTCCAACTCCCACCATTCCTAACAGCCTCAGGCCCCTTCCGCTTAAGCGGCTGAGGGGGAAAAGGAAAGGGCCTGAGGCTGTTAGGAATGGTGGGAGTCCAAAACACCTGGAGGGAGGGCCCAAGTTTGCCCATGCCTGATTTGGCCACTCCCCGCTGGGCCTAAATGCCCAAAAACTATCCCTGTGGAGGCAGAGACCGTGACCCCTCTGCTTTGTGATGCTACAGCCTATACGCATTTTGTTTTGTGGACACAAATGATTTAAAATATTGGAAATATGACCTTCAGGCAATGTGCATAGAAACAAACGAATTTCATGCTAATTTGGCTTCCATTTTCAAGATGGCTCCATGTGTTGGCCAGGCTGCCCCTGTCCCCACTGTGATTCCACCCACAGGTGAATAAAAGGTAAAGGTTTCCCCCTGATGTGTCAGACTCTGGGGGTTGGTGCTCATCTCCATTTCTTAGGTGAAGAGCCAGCGTTGTCTGTAGACACCTCCAAGGTCACGTGGCCTGTGGGACTGCATGGAATGCCATTACCTTCCCGCCAAGGCAGTACCTATTGATCTACTCACATTTGCATGTTTTCAGACTGTTAGGTTGGCAGAAGCTGGGGCTAACAGTGGGAGCTCACCTCACTTCCCAGATTCAAATCGCCGACCTTCCGGTCAGCAAGTTCTGCAGCTCAGCAGTTTAACCCACTGCACCACCGGTGAATGAATACTTCTTTATTTAAGCATACTTTTAATGTATAAACAGGAGTGCCTTTTTATTGGGTAGTTTTGTAATTGATTTTAAAATGTATTATATTATTTTTTTAACATTATGTACAACAGGTTTTTAACTTGCTTGTTTTTTTTTTGTCTGAGAGAAAGGGCCCCCACAAATGCAACAAATAACTGCTGAGACTATGACTGAAAGTGAGGAAAGCAGTGGAGTCAAAACAAAACGGTATAATAGCAAAAGTATTTACCTCACTGAAGAACAGGCAAATAGTTGAATGTTTTTGGCATACTATATTAATCAAGAGTTCTTCCTTAGTTTATGATATTCATTACAGGCAGTCCCCAAGTTACGAACAAGATAGGTTCTGTAAAAAAGGTAAATGTTTCCCCTCCATGCAGTCATGCCGGCCACATGACCTTGGAGGTGTCTACGGACAACGCTGGCTCTTCAGCTTAGAAATGGAGATGAGCACCACACCCCAGTGTCAGACATGACTGGACTTAATGTCAGGGGACTACCTTTTACCTTTTCCCCTGACATTAAGTCTAGTCGTGTCCAACTCTGAGCACTCATCTCCATTTCTAAGAATAGTTGGCATTGTCCATAGGCACCTCCAAGGTCATGTGGCCAGCATGACTGCATGGAGCACCATTACCTTCCTGCAGAAGCGGTACCTATTGATCTACTCACATTTGCATGTTTTGGAACTGCTAGGTTGGCAGAAGCTGGGCCTAACAGCAGGAGCTCACCCTGCTCCCTGGATTCAACCCACCGACCTTTCAGTCGGGAAGTTTGGCAGTTCAGCAGTTTAACCCACTGCAACACCAGGGGGTCTTAGGTTCTATAGGTTTGTTCTTAAGCTGTATTTGTATGTCAGTAGGAGCAGGGACATTTTTAAAGTGTAACTCCAGCTCTCTCTAAATATATGCATGCATATGCATGCAAGCAAGCAAGCTTTGGACAGTATAGGGAAGGGTTAACACCCCTGTTGTGTTTGGTTTGTTGCCTACACCCCTGGTTCAGAAGATTTCATCTCACTTTCTGTCCCTGTGATCATTGGATTTTAAGAAATTTGGCTTGTTGTGGAAACAAGGATTGGTGAGAAAGCTTCAGGAGACACTTTTCCACATTGTAACTCTTTCAGGAGTGAATATCCCTTCCTTCCGAGGGCTAGATTTCTCTCACTTCCTGTTGTCTCATCCCTCTTCTTAACAATGAGTCATTTGTAAGTCGGATGTTTGTAACTCGGGGATAATACAAAACAATGCATCCTGTTGAGACAAAGAAAATAGCCAGAAACACAGAAACTTGAGTCACAAGGTCTTCTTTAGTTGACAAAAAATTGTACAGAAAATGAGAAAAATCTCATTTGAGCAAGGTGCAAGCAGCTGCTTCAACACTAGGTACACTGCAGTTCCACCACTGGAAACATTACGGCACATTTACAAATATACAAATCCAGGATTAACAAACAGGAGGCAATACTAGAAGCACTTGTACAAAAGAAATTCTATTTCAAGGGGCAGTCAGGCCAAGTAGCTTAAACTTCACTGGATGAAGTGTTCACAGCCTTCTTTTTATATTCGTAGGCACATAGTTTAGAAGCACAACTGGACCTTACTTGCTATCCGTGCACATTTCTTGCTCATGCATTTAAAAACAAACTGTTGCTCAAACAGAACCCTTTGTTTTCACTCCTCCCATTATAGGAAAAGTTTAGAGTGAAGCATAAGGGAGCACTTGTAATAAAACCATTAAAATGCAAAGAACTAGCTCATTGCTTTCAGAGACCCGCTCGAGTTCCACACCATTAAAAAGACAAATAAGGAATGCATTTGCAAGTATACTATCATTTCTTTGAAAAACGCTATTCCGGAAGAGTGCAGGAGTGTGCCCCAACCATCTGAACCAAAAAGAGCAGCAGAATGGCAGCTCTCACTTGAGCATGTGCTGTTTCCAAGCCAAGAAGGGGCTTGGGGCCCCAGAGCCTGTATTGTAATGCCCCAGCAAGTTCTGTGAGAAAGCTCCAAGAACTGCAAGCGCTATCATGTGTAACAGAGGCCAGGGATGAAAAGAAAAACAAGCAGGTGATTATCACAAAGTTTAAGTTACTGAGCAATCTCAATACACTTTCAAACATTCACTTCACAGTGTCCAGAGTGTCACCATCAATTGCTGTCAAAATAGCATCTCCTTAACCCAGAAAAGGGATGTCCATTCTCCGCCATATGCACCTTGAGTACTCATGCAGTCCCACCATTTTGCCTTACCACCAACTGAGCAATACAAGGTATGTAGCGCAGTTGGCCTGGTTGTCCGGCTACCAGCCCCGATTATGCCAAAGTCCCACCAGGATCTGCTTACAATACAGCTGCAGATGTGGCTCAGCTCACGTCGTTCCCTCTTCTCAGCATCCTGCCTGCTGGCAAACACGTCCTTGTGCACATTCTGCAGAATGTTCTGGTGCCTTTTTTTCCCTAACAGTTGTCTCTTCCATCAACACTGCTTTCCTCAGGTGCAGTCTCCTTTCCCACACATCCTAACTGCCTTTGGGAAAATAAGCTGGTTTCTATTTCACAACTGCTTCACTTACTATTAAAAAGCTATGGCTTCACTAAGTCAAATGCATTCAGCAAGCCCCAGATTCTCTTTCTGGGGACTAAACCGATTTGGGTCTAATGAGAATTCCTTAAGACAGCAACTCCACTAAGCATGCAGCAAGAGCCACAAGCTTCCACTGGCCATGCATGGAGGGCATTAGTTTATCAATTCCTCTACACTTGGTTATGTTTACTGCTTCTTTTGTAAACCAAAGTGGTCGATGTGGCATATTATCTCCCTTAAAAAAGAAACTGCAAATTACTATAATGGACAAATGCCACTCTGGCCACAAGAATGCAGCACAGAACATACCGTGTGCCATACAAGAATCAAGTACACAGTGGTTTCTGCCCACCTTTGGCCCAAGCCCATGTGGTCACTCCGCTGGAATTCAGTGTCCCTCCTTGCTCTCTACTGTCTCCTACAGCTCACATAATGTAATAGCAGTGTCACAAAGTAACAGCTGAACAATAGGGTAACAGATTCATTGCACTGTGGCGTCTTCTTTAAAAACAAAGACATGCTTCTCCAACAGTATTTCTTATGATTAGGACTGCTGCCGAGATGGCTGGCAGATCCCCACAAGCTCAGAGCCTGTCCCTGCTCTGAGCATCACATCCATCACACAGTGCCATGGCAACTATGGCAAAAAGGGTTTGTGGGTTTCCTTAAGATTCCTAGATGAAAATGCTTACACTTAGTCATTATGGGCACCTCACAGATTCGCTAGTCTACTTCTTGGTCACCATGCAGTCTTGAAAAGGTGAAGAATAGCTGATCTCTTGAATACCGGTGACTGGAAATATACAGTAGTATAACCCCCTTGAATTGAGTTTTAACCCTTCCCTCTTCATCCGCTGGTTTTAAACCATTAGAGCATTTAATCCTGTTTTAACATCTTAAACCCTACCCTTTATTTATTATTATTAGCTAGTCCTTTATGATGGCCCCTAGTTAGATCCCCTTCTCAAGAGTGTTGCAGTTTAAGTTTGCTCCCCTTTCTCAGCCTAGGGCCGAGTCCCACCCACCCCTCTCCACCAACAATAGCCTCTGGGTAGAGACCTTTCCTTCTGCCAGTGAGATACCCTGGTTTTTGTTTAAATTGGTCACGGAGGCCCACCCTCCCCCCAACTTTGTAAATTTCAGGAGATGGGGAGCGAAGTCATTTTATGTCCCACAATGCTCTGCCCGTCCTCCCTAACCCCCCATTAACAGGGATCTGCAACACTGGGTTGTGGACGAGTTACCAGTATCCCTCCCAGCATACACAGGAACCTAA